GTACATGTAACCTATTACAAAATTGCAGCCCAGAATATTGCAAATTTGAGGACCTGCCGGTAGGTCCACACATACATTTAGCATGAAAAATTCTGGCACAGCTACAGCAAGTCGAGACTCTCCCCACCCAAAACCCATAGTCTATCAACAAACCTGTTTTGGGAAGGACATGCCAGGTACCGTGTATTGACACTGTATTGACTATGGGACCCAATGCGAGTGCCGTCCTTGTAGGCCCACCTTGCACAACCTGTTTACAACACAGACACCTGGAAATCAATAGGGGCGTGGTTGAATTCCTCTGGAGGACAAAGAGTTTGAGGGGGGAAGCTTGGCTGACATACAAGTTGCCTTAGTTTTGCAGGATCATAAGATGCCCAATCTTCCTGTCAAATTGTAACCGGCTCCCATGTAATAACAATTAAGTTGCATAAATTAAGTTCTGGGATTTGACTGGGTAGCACAGGGGACAAGCCTTTAAATAAAGTGGTCCAGCGAATAACTCTGCTTGTTTGTTGCTGATCTAACCATGGTATCTTGGAGAAAAATGAAAAGCTTTAAAGATTAAAGGCACTTCATTCGGCAGGTGACAAGCACAGGTTTCATTGTGGTTCAGCAAAGTGAAATGTTTAAATTTCCTCATGTACCCGTATATTAGCTGTAACTGCATACCAAGGAATCTTTTTAAAGAAAGTCTAAAAGTAGCATGTCTAGCCAATATCCACTCTCTGGAAAGATGCCCATACGGTGATTTCCCAGTCACAGCCCCAAGCCTTTCACCGCTTTGAACTAATATCTGCATTTTAACAATACTTCATCTGCCTATCTGCCAGGTAGTCTTTGAGCCCCTACAGTGCATCGTGAGCACAGTGATATGGCTAAAAACATCCTGCCAACTTTGTTTTGGCTTCCTCTCCTAGCCAACAGTAACTGATACTGACTGGCGACACAATCTCCGTGTACCCAGGGATCCTTCAAGCTTGTTTTCCAGGCTTCCTCCAAAAGAGAGCCAAAACTGGGTTATTTACACATACACTTGCCAGTCGAAGTCACTTAATACTGGAATGCAGACTGAGGAATCAAGTTCTCTTCTTTGTCACCTCGGCTGAATTCTTGCCAGTTGGACCCCCCCAAAAAAAGAACCCAAGAATGGTGCACGATCGATCCAGCAAGAGGAAACACTATCCTCTTCTTGTACCTAGTAGAGTAATTGTTTCCTGTTGCCAGTGTTGGTGGCTGTTGAATATTCTGTCCAACAACTGCTGATCGCTGTGGTGTGGAACATGGTTTTTTTTCACACCCCAGGGACAAATGTCCAAGATGCCATGCACCTCGAAGGGTTAAAAAGTTTGTCACATAGACAAAAGTTGTTGCTGTCGAGAAAGTAAAGGAAAGCTATACGTAACACTGAGGGTTTTAAAGACAGGTGTTTTCTAATGAATATCAAAATTTCATTCTCATACACCAAGTGCACCATAGGCATTGTCTTGGTTTTTACTTTAACCAAAAAGAGAATTCAAAGGACACGCTGAAGAACAGTCTTGCCTATTTTTTTTTCCGTTTTTGAGCACATGAGGCTGAACAGTGTAAATGTGGACTGAAGTGACTCATCGCAATCAAGTGTCAACACAAAAGAGCCTTCACCACCAAGAAAAACACAGAGACACATTACATGTGCATGAAAAAGGTCTCAATGTCATTGATATAATGGCCTGAATTAACGTGAAACAGTTATGTTTTATTTCAACTGTTGTTTAATGAGAGGATTCACACAAAAAAAAAGATTCCCAGCATGGGAAACCTATTTTTTCATCTTCCCACAAATTTCAGAAAAATAAAATTTTAATTGGGAAAACATCACTTTGAAATCCCTCAACTGTTTAAGGACACATCTAGTATCCTTCATGCACAAGTTAAGGGAAAGAAAAGCATTACGTATTATCCAGGTTCAAGTATTTCAATATTAATTCAAATATGGCACGGTTTTCCTGATAGTCTTACATTATGCCAACACTGTACCTTTTGCAGGCTTCCTGATAGTCTTACATTATGCCAACACTGTACCTTTTGCAGGCTTCTCTTTGCATAATGTATAATACAACACATTTGAGCAGTGCATCAGTACTTAAACAAAGAACATCTCATTTTAATAAGCAATGGGAATGGATAACAGTTTGAGCATGCTTCACGCAATAAACCTGAAGATTCAAACCTTCTTTCTTCTGTAATGTTGTTTTAATCAACATGCAGAACAGAAAATCCAGATTCGAAGCTTTGTGACCAATACTAGATTAAATCTCCATGCAAAGTGCACTTGTTACCTGACTATATATCAACAGGGACATTAAATGGAAGAGCACATTGTGCGGGGGTTGAAAAAATTCATTAAGCTATTTAATGTCCACTCTGTTGGGTATAATAAAATGTTATGACTTTGTTTGTGATCCGTTCTGAAGGCAATTTTTAGATAACAAGAAGTTGGGGGAAATATTAATCTACATGTTATCTGCGCAAGTCAACACTTCTTTGTTGAAATTTATGTGTGTGTACCTACATGTACATACAATGGAAATAATTGAAAAATCTTCCTGAATAAAATTTCTCAGCATTTATATTGCTATTACCTGTACAACAACAGGGACGGCTATAAACTTTTAGTCTTCCATCAGCTATGATTAGAGGTACAATTACCCAAAACACCTACCAGTACCTTGCTTCAAAACGGAGAAAAACCAGCGGGTATCTCAACTCTAAATGAACGTACAACAAAAATGCTAATCTAGTGTCTTGATCTCTGCAGTCACTTCAGTCACTTCAACCAAATCTATATTGTTTGTCAATTGCTAAGGTATTTTTAGGAGGAAGTTGGAAAGGTTCCATTAAATACACTGAGCTCATCTCTCTCTTTGATGTGATTTTCTTTTCCAAGTCAAACAAGTGCCCAACCCTCAAATAGTAATCACTTGCACAAACACATCAAGAAAGTGTATTCCTTGGATATACGGTAGTACCTAGGCATTGGAGTTCACCTGTAATCTGTCTGTGTACTGGTACATGTATACCTTTGTCATTTGTAATTGAATCAACTGACCCAAATTCGACACTGTGAAGTCCCTCGAGCTTGCCCCGTTAATCTGAGGAAGAAAACACTTCCTCTTCAATTAGATTATGGCTGCACAATTCTAATCTAGTGTCCTGATCTCTGTAGTGGAGGGAAGACTGGTGCAAGTCTAGGGCAGCTTGTTGTGCCCCGAAAATGTACCCACAAACACTCCAGTCAGGGCTGGCTTTTGTCTACTCGCGTGAAGGAAAGGGGCCCCTATTGTTCCCCGGCTTACACCGTTGACAAAAACAAGTCTGCCTCGGCTGGCCATCGGGTAGTGGGTTCTAAGAGGCACCGCGTGCGTTAACCCCGCTACGCTAGGCCACTCGTTTCGGCCTGTCCAAGGCCTTTCTAAGGCCTCAATGCAGCGCCGTCACTTAATAGCCAGCAGTTAGTGCAAATTATGGTGGGAAACGAGAGAAAAAAAAACACACTACGCAGAAGGGCTTGGGAAAAAAATTCCGGTTCTGTGCTGCACTCGTGGTGACTCCCAACAACAAAATTCCAGACTAGGATTATAACCCCCGTCTGTGTTCAGCACTATTGTGCCTGCCACTAGAGAGGATTTCAGCTTACCCATTGCACAAAACACCAGCAAGACCACACACTGGGGGAGGGAGAGTCTGTTGAGCCTTGCCCGACAGAAAAACAACTTAATTACAGGTATAACCCTAATGATAGAGTCTCTATAAAGCAGAATCACCTGTCTTCTAGGAATACATGTATGTTCAATATCAGTTACAAGTAATTGCTTTAAAAATGTAGGCCTACATGTTTAACAATGACTGGATGATTATCACAACCCAGTTCATACTTCAAGCAATGTTGAACTGAAATGAATTCATCCAGGTAAAACAAGCTTCACAGCAAAATTACAAGTGTTTTCACTTTGAAATTTGCTTCACCACCCTTAATACTGAATATACCTTTTTACAACTTTGCACACAATTACTGAAATACTCAAGAAGCAGGTCCAGTATGCCAGTGACACAGACCATTAAATTAATCGGCCTTTGAATAAAGAGACTCTGGGGAAAATGCCATGTCAAGCTACAAATATGTACGTACTTATGATTCTTTAAAGAATTTACCAAAATTACCCTCCAAAGTAAAAGACTTAAAAAAAATATTTTTACAGCCCAACAAGTAACCACATTCAGTTGATCTTTCTGTCCCAATTCCCACTGAGAAATACAAATGTATACAAGAGAAAACATCAAAGCAAGGAGCAAAATAAATCCTCTCCAAATAAAACAGAAGTAACATAGCTAGCAATTTCTGTTTCACAAAATATGTTAAATTTCATTGTTAACCATTTTATAAATTTGGGAGCAGGCCTAGGCCTACCGGTACATGTGCAATTTTTAGCAGGAAAAAGGAATACTTTAAATTTTAAAGTGAACAACCTCGTTACAGATTGGCAAAGTTCAGGACAAAGAGAATATAAATTCAGCATGCAAGTCTTCTAAATCAGGGAATGGATTAGGCTACTTGGCACTGAATAATCCAAAGAGAGGATTCAAAGGAACTTGATAAACTGGAGCAAAACTAGCGTTAGTCTTTACAAACTAGGATCTTTCGAAACTTAGCGGTTGTGTAGATCTAGCCATGTTTTGCACATGCTGTAATAACTGCAAACATGCACAGCAGAAGCCTTTTGAAAAATCAATTGAGAAAATACATCATAGGTCTAGTGCATGGAGATGTAAAGGTAAGGCCCAAGTGACGAACGATCTTCTGGGCCTAGCTAGATGCTAGATTTTTCACTTGGTCAATTCCCTCTTTTTTTTCAGCCCAACAACGTTGCAACATTCACTACCCGTGCTGGCTAAAGGAAAATGTTTACAAAATGAATATTTTTGTGTTAAAAAGTGAAAGATAGAAACAGGAAACTTACCGGACACGGGACTCAATTTCGTCAGTTCACACCATCGTGTTTTCCACTGCAAAAATACAAAACACATGAAAGATGAAAAAAAAGCCGACTTGTCTGTGTAAAACGCCATGCCACAAGCAGGGACTTTCAAATAAAAGCGGTACATTACAGAAGGGGGTAAAATACGAGACTGCCCTACCTTGCGGCCGTGTCGAATTTTGAGCGAACACTGGAGAAGCGTGTTGGTGTGGTCGGCCATTTTTAGCACCACCGAGCGGTTCGTCTGCTGCGGTTCTCCATAGCGCTAGCGCGTGTTGTGCGCTGTTTGTGCCCCGTGTACGTGTTTTTGAGAAGAGGAAAACAAATACCCGTCATGCACCGCTAACCATTCGCTCGTCCCCAAGCGTGCAGTCCCATGGCACTGGCGGGCGCTAACCTCTCTGCCAAATTCGGTGAACATTTTGTGAAGCATTGTGGGAAACTTTGTGTGGTCCTTCGTCTTCGATGAGCCGTGACAAAGTCACGTGGAACGAAAATTACCCAATGAGAGGATAAAGAAATCTAGTGCTCACCTATGCTCTTAGAGAGGTGGTGGACACGAGAAAACGCTCACCGCACTGACAAACAACCCGTGAATGAGACGGCGGATAAACTAGACACAACTCGTAAACAACTTAAGCCCTAGCGCGGCACAATGTTGTCAGTGTCGCGTGAGCATGCAGTTAAGTCCAACACGCAATTGGGGAGACGACTCTGGCTCAATGGAGCCGTAATATCAGGCGCCAGGTTTAATTTCTCGTCAGGGATATCACAGTGATGCTCAGATCATCCCTGGCTTAAATTAAAATAATGAAAAATTATGCAGCAGCCTTTGACGCTAGGCGCGACTGCAAAACAATTTTATTATGCTTTTCTGGGAATTATTTACGTGGACTGGACAACTTCTTGCGGATGGCGATTTTTCCTTTGTAATATTTTATGAGTTTCTGGCGAAATGAATAAAAGTTCAAATGAATAATACGCTCAAGTTTATTTAAAGAAATGTCTTTCCACTCAGTCTTGCCAACAAATATTGTTTCGGGTATACATTTTAATTTACATCCCACTGAAATGTCTGGCTAATATCCTTTCTAGGAATATTAATTTGATGTAAGTGCAATGCTCAAGGAATGCTTATTTTAGGCAACAAAATGTGGTCGTTATATTTCTCCTGTCTGCTTTAACGAGCGCCAAATGTATTCAATCTCCACTGTGGGTAAGCGCAGCGTTATTTAGGCCAAAGCTGATGCGGCCACTCCGGTTCCGTGTACTTTAATTTTCCCCCCGGCTGGTTGTTATTCGAAGTGTCACTCTATTAACAAAACAAGTTATTCCCAGAACACGACCAGGATGTTGGTAATTTGCCCAAGGAGATTTTTTCCAGTAAACTAGGAAAGTGGCATATTTCGAAAATAAAATGAAATCGCTAAAGTACAGTATCAATACCGGCGTTTCGCAATAGTGAGCCTCCAAGAGTTTGCAACGCCTTGACCCATCACAGTGCCGGAAATCTGTCGACCCAGTGCGGGTTTGGAAAGGGTCGACATATTCAGTGCTTTGTGATTGGTCAACGAGTTGCAAACTCTTGGAGGCGCACTTTTGTGAATCGGTACATAAGTTGGTACATAATGGAAGGTGGTATGGAAGCGACATATTTGTTGGGGGTTACTTTTTGTTTTTGGTTCTTGATTATGACCATTATGTTCTTCGGTTTTAATTTCTGTTGTGTGTTTCGTTTGAATTATTATAATGATTTTAATCTTGTAACGTGTAAATGTTTATTTACTGCTGGTGAATTTTACCATAGCTTTTGGTTTGGCAAAAGCTTAATTTAGTTAATTAGAAGATAATTAAATGAAAAAAGAAATATTCGAAGGACTTTATAATTATATTCCAAGACACGATCAATGTTGCTACGACAGTATTCATAAATGAAAGTGACCGGTTGGAAGTTTTCCAGTTTGTGTAGATATAGCGGTAGTTGCGTGATTTTTGCCGTGCGCTCGGCGCGGCCGTTGGAATCGACAACCTGTGAGAGTGTATGACGTAAACTTGTCGCAAGAGGTCGCTGTGCAAGAAATTAATTTCATCAACCAAGCAGACAGACAAGAATGAATGGAATTTTGTTTCACAATTGTGAGAAGAGATTCAGGCATTCGAGACTTGGTATTTTGCATGGCGTTATATCAGAAATAGAGATGTGAGTTTCAGGATTCCTCCAGACAGTGTTTCGTTTATTGTTTTTTTAATTACACAACTGTCTGGGGCCGGGATAAACCGTGTACTTTCCAATGGGAAAATGGTTCTTGAGAGGAGACTAGTCTCCAAGCCTCGTGGAGCTTCGCCAGTTGAATATATCGGACTTTACTTCCCTTCGAAAAAATTTCTCGAGCCAAGAGCAAATGGAGCTTTTTGATTTAATGTATCACTTAGTTTGGCGTCCTGATGGAAGTGGATACTCCATGGTGAAAAATGCTGTGGGTTGATTGACATTGTGCAAAATTATTCTAAAGGACTTTTTACTCAAAAGTGGCTTTGGCGTCTTCAGACTCCTTTTTGCAGAGTGGGTCACAAATATAGCGCCTTGTGATTGGTCAACACGTTGCAAACTCTTGAAGGCGCACTATTGTGAATCGCCCGTATTCTGTACTCGCAACAGACCACCTTAGACTGTGACGTCATACACAGCAATATCAAACTCTAAAATACTTCATTAATTCATGAAAATAAGCTATTAGTTCCAAATTCTCGCTCAATCTTTTTTATAAGGCTAACAGTGATTTTCAGTATTGCTCAGTGGTTTTACCTCACAGTTTCTAGGTGTTTGGATCCTGACCCCTTGGGTCTTGAAGACGGTTCTATTCTTGATAATCGTGTCTCTGCGTCCAAGGATCCTTCTCCGCCTCCAACGGACGCCTTGGCTTCGATGGGTTTTGGAGACCACAGAAGTGCGTAGACAGACTTATATGCAAATGTATATATAGAAAATGCATACATGTACAGGGTTTGCTTGGCTGCCATCTTGCAGGCCAATGCTTTTGCTCCACATGGTTTGCACAAAAGAGGTTTCCCTGTGGAAGAAAACAACTGCCATGCAAAGACGCTACCACGCAAAGCTTTTACACCCACAATACACAGGCGATTCACAAAAGTGTGCCTCCAAAAGTTTGCAACGCGTGGGCCAATCACAAATTCTGTCGACTCTTTCCAAACGCGCATTGGATGACAAATTTCGCGCATTATGATAGGTTAGTGCGTTGCAAACACTTGGCGACGCACTATAAATGTGAAACGCCCGTTTTTGTTTTTTAAAGGGCTAAGAGGGTTCACCCTTCCCACAGTTTTTGTATTGCGATTGAAAAGGGTTTTCTATCACTGCCCCAGAATTTCAATTGGGTTCTGTTGAATTCCTGCAAGCGGTCCCCTAAGGTCGATGCAAATGGTGACTCACCTTTTTTGTAAAACTCAGTTCGACGCGAACTGAATCGAGCGCTGGATTCAGCGGAGCTTCATTCTGTGGTCCGTAGCCGCTCCGTCCGTACCTTGAACCTACGTTGACGGTCTCTAGTCGAGCGCTAGTCAAGAGTCATGAACGTACCACGCCCCAAAGTCATATGCTGTTCTTCACAACATAGATGTTTTGTATTTTGTCCCACGCCCCTTTCTTTTTTTTTGAAAAAAAATCCCCTCCATTTCCCTTTACTTTTGGTTCTCCCTCCGACACATTCAGTTCCGACTCTAATGCCTGGATTCAAGTAGACATTGGTTACAGTGCAGAGGTGCTTGGGGTCACCACTCAAGGTTCCCACTTGGGCCACGAGTTCCGGGTAACCAGCTATCGAGTGGGATACCAGACACCACTTGGAACAGACTCTCAGTTGGCTTACGTGAGGATGAGGATAAGATTAAGGTGAGCAGTTCCTTTTGGGGAAAATGCACTACTTTGGAGGAACTGGTTCTAACATTCGAACTTCCATCTTCCCGTCGATTTGTCCAATCATTTTGATTCATACATCGATTTATACATCATTGTACTTGTTCCAACAGAACCGAGTCCTCCAGAAATTGAATATACCTGGTTTTGAAGTTACTTTAGAATCTAATAACTCTCTGGGGAGTTTTTGAACCCTTGTTTTTGCCCATGAAACTGGTCCTCGTGTTTGAACCAGCTCGATGTAGACTTTGTCAAAATTTCTTCCTGGTTTCAAGTTCCAGGTGGCCACAGGAGGAAGACTGTGTTTCGAAGTAGGTCACAGCGAGCTAGAGGACTCTGATGTGCGAATGTTTACATGGTTTCAGAATTAATTGAGGACAAAATAAGTTGATGGTTGGTACCAAAGGCGTTGCCATAGGAGCAAGATGAGACCACGACAAAAAATACCTTTATTCTTCTGGCTATTTGTTTTGCAGTTGTTTGCCGGTAATGTCAAAGATTCTCAAGCCGAAGTTCCTAATCTCTTTGTCGACAGCTAGCATTGTGGCAATACGAGTCCGCATCGAGCCCGTCGAATGGTACAAGAAAATTGCCCTGAGGTTTTAATTGCTTTGGTGTCGCAAAAACAACACTCCCAAATCCTCCAAATTCAATACGATTTTACATACACCCTAGGGGTTAGGGTTAACTGATCAAAGAGCATGCATTCATTCCGTGCAACTATTCTTAATCATTCCTAATTTTGTGAAGTACTAAGCAGAAACCGAAACATGCTAAACTGTACTTTAGTTTGATATGTGCCCTTAAGATCTCCATGAAATGCATTTGAGGCAATTTACTCGTCTGTAGTCTTTAGTAAAATGTTTTCATTGGCTAGGTCCTCCTGGAGCTCATGGTACGGACTGGTTGTCACCTAGAGCGTGGCCCCACAACTGCAAGGATCGAACGTCATCCAACCACACTCAGGACAGACGGTGTAATGACGCTTATGGCGGCAACATTCAATGATTTCTTTTGAAGGAATTAACAATTAGTCTCGTAATGAAAAGACACTCATAAGATTAACACTTAAAATTAAGATTAAAACTTAGAATTCGGAAGAAATTCAGGAAGTCTGACCATTCCAATTGGTCTACAGCCTGTCACTTGGGTAGTTTTCATCGGGTGATTAAAAATTTCAGAAAATAAGTGTACAGAAACTTGTCTTCAATAAATACAAATTCTGGATTTGGACAACAAAATGTGATTATGTATCGGTATTGTTTTAACTTTCAATACAGCAACCTTAATTAACAAGCCCTTAGCATGTAAGAAATTCTCAAACACATGCGCGTTAATGAACTTGGCGGTAAAAAAAAAAGCGCTGAAGGCATGGGTTGATCGCGCGTTGAATCGCGAGCTATGCGAAGGCTGGCCATTGACACAATGCGCACAACATTAGTTCTCCCAGGAGGTCATCATCAAGTAATAATCCATCTCAGGATGCCAACATTTTGCCTGCTGTCCTCTGAGTAAAGGCCGTGTCCGAATCACTTGGCTGCGGCTTGGAATTACACAAGACTCAATGGGCTACTAGGCTACGAGTGGGCTACAGACACTACTACAGAATCGCGTGTGATATCAAGCTACAGCCAAGTGATTGATTCGGGCGTAGTCTTAGGATAATATCAGCGTCTCAAAGTTGGTTGGCACTTCCAGAGATCCAAGTAATGTTGTCAATTTTCCCAACCAGAGTCGCGGGGATGCAGCTTCAGTTTACAAAACCAAATCATGATTTCATAAACTCAAGTGACATCCAGAAACTTAGCAGCAAATTAAACGACACGGATCACAGAAAGTCTGGCTTGTCGTACCCGAAAAGCTCGAAATCTAAGTTGTACATCCTCCACAGAGTTTGTAACGAAGCATTGACGGTACGTCTAAGGAAGGCTGAGTAGACTTGAGAACTGTTAGTCTGATGTCTGTCACCAGTCGGGAAGGAGATTTTGTCCTGTAGCCCAAGTGACGTCAGTATGTACCTAGCGTCGTCATTGGCAGTCTCAAGCTTACCCAAATAGTCGTACCTGACCTTGCACGGCGAACATATCTTGTGGATCTCCATCCAGTGGGAGTCAAAGCCCGCCCTCTCCCTCGGATCGGTTAGGTAGGCTATCCACTCGTGCCAGGTGATATTTCGGCCACTTTTAAGCAGTTTCTGCACCTTGGCATTCCTGCGGTACTTCATAATGATGTGCTTAGCGAGGGGCTCCCAAAAAGGCAGCACTCTGCCCGCAAATTTATCCAGATAAGTGGACAGGATGCGTCGGAAAGGATGGCGGGTGTACATGAACTTGGTGTAGGTGTGAAGTCGGTGTGTCTGCTCGGCCGGATTAAAGTGGCTGAGCTTTCTCAAGCCTTTAGGGTGGTTGGTTTCCTTCAAGGTAATGTCCTCTGTCCGGTTACGTACACCACCAAGAACCATTAAAACTCTCTTCCAGTTACTGCATGCAACCTAACAAAAACATTAAAAAATAGGTGAACTCGTTCTGAGTGGATATTGTTCTCAGCGTATTATGGCCAGTTTACAACAGGCACTTTACTTAAGTCATACGTGAAAGGCTGCCGTCAAAGGCGGTACTTTTCCCCCTCTCCAAATGTTCAGAATCAACAAACCTTTGGGACAAAGCAATAAAGTATCTTGTACTCGTCGTTCACGTATATTTGTTGTAAGGTCATGCGACTGATGCCGCTTCTTGAGAGCTCGGGATGTCTGCTGCAGCCCCACGTGAGATGTTTGCGGCGCTCTTGCTGAATGGCTGCCTGTAGCTCCATAAACCCCTCCAGCTCAACTTCTTCGCTACGCTCCTCCTAATTCAAAAGTGGAAACGAGAGACGGTCACGGATGAGGAAGCGTATACCTTCGATTATAGCGGCGATAACGGCCATGAGCCCCTCTTGCAGTTGCAGTTTGTGCCTAGCAGGGGCTGGCAAACCTATGGCCAGCCATCCGTACAGAGAAGAGAAAAACTTTACAAGTGCTTAAAAATCTCTTGTAGGTATGAATACTAAATTATATATTATGACTAATCCACAATTTGAAAGCATACCCCTTAAATGGGAAACTGTGCACTTTGAATTTGAGAGAAAAATCTGCTGCCAGCCAAGGATGGACTCTTTGCAAACCCTTGCAGCCTATAAAAACAGTATACGCAATGTCTGCAAACGAAAAAAAAATGGCTCTATAGGGCGGAAAATGACAAAACAAAATACAGACTTCCCTATCGTAGTTCCATGGTAAATTACATTACAAACGAAACATTACATAATAAAAAGACCTACCTTCTCTCTCTCTCATGGCATTCCTTTGCTTTTTGTCTGTCCTTTTGTATTTCAACAGGACGCTGCATGCCCTCAAAGCTTGGCACATGAAACCCTTTGACATATTTTCCCACCATCCACTACATTTTTTTTCAGCAAGCTTCTTTACAACCACTGGTACAGCACACTACACGCATCCAAGACTAAACTTGAACCTTTTTAGGTTTATATTTTTGCGCCCGCTATACACCCGGTTTGGCAGTCGTGTATCCTCATGCACTTAACTGTGGATCTTGTTAATTAGTTAATGTACCTTTGTAAAGTCCACAGTTTGAAGGTGTTCTATACATGTACAAACCCACACACGCAAGACAGTCACAGCACGAAGGAAGGATGTACATGTACTAACATTTTCGCTACTCTTTCCTGGCGTCCGAGAGCCGTTTTGCTGCCACGTGGACTGGGTCAGATCAACATTCCGCAGCTGCCCAGATAGGCGCCTCACATCCAGCTTTGGGTGCTGACCAAGAAATCCAATCGGCTTTGGTCTGTCCGTGGCTGAAACAATGAGTGGATCAGAAGTACCAAATCGTGTCTCCAATCACTGATGAATAAGACTTGATCATGCCGAAATGTTTTAGGGTTAAGCTTTATCAAGAATTTGCAATGATAGCCAACGGCTATCCGCTAATCCACAGCCATTTCCATTGATTCTTAGTCGTGTCACATGACATAGCGGTTGTTTGCCGCATACTACGCGCAGTAATTTTAGAAGTTAGTCAAGAACCTATGGGTTAAAAACCCGTACAAACTGATTTTGTTTAGTCAATATTCCGGTCATTTTCTTCCCCAGTCCTGAACAGTGCTATGCTTCAAGTTGAGCCTGTTTGAGGTGGAGTTGGAGGGTAATGACTTTGTATAGGCTCAAGTTAACCTTTCGCGAATTCACTGTAACAAATTAAAATAAAGAACAGCTTCCAAGGCATCATAATCACCAAGGTGATTTACGGCAACATCACTGAAGATTGGAAGTTGTAGCAGACACCGTTTTTCTAAATACACGAGAGATCGTGAATCGAAACAGACAAAACCTCATAGCAATCAGGACTACAATGTACTCATGCAGTGGTATCTGATTTGCTTACCTGTTGTTTCGAATAGAGTGACGATGAAGACGACTATCAGGCATAAGATACAATATGCAAGGCAGCATAGTTGCTTAGAGATCGGTGGACCAGGGACATTCATCAAGAACAGAATAGTAACTTGACTTGATTAGTTTCAACTGCAAATGGGATGCAATAAGAACGTTTGACAACCAGATTAAGAGTGGACACATATACCGTACGAAGGCTATGTATGATCACCAGTTAATCAAAACTGGGAATCTTACTCATGTTACAGAGATGCGCAGACATAATGAAATAGGAACTTCACATTACCTATGCAGTCATCCCCTGCACGGTTCAGTCTTTCTTCGACTGAATGGTCTTTACTGTAAGTCCGTCTTCAAGCCTTATTGTGTTGTATTGTGCAACCTCAATCTTGCCTGAATCTGGACAGACGTCCTTTCATCGCTTACGTAATCCGATGCGACATACACTTTACATGGCAAAGTTTTCTCTGTCTCCGCGACAACGCAGTTTTTTCACGGCAAGCAAGTATAACCTTTGGTCGTGAATTCATTTCGTCAAAGCTAACTACAAGTGCATGTATGATGCAAGATGTGCGGTAAAGCCTAACGGGGACTCCCCTGTTGTGTTGTCTTTTGTGTTGACCGTCTTTGGAATTCCTTTCAGATTTCCAGGGGGGGTGCAGTACGTACAATAGCCTTAGGATATACAGCTTGCGAATTACATTAGGGGGGTCCCCCTTTACCGCATATCGTGCACAGTATCTAACTTCATGAACCTAATCACAAGATTGGTGCCCCAGTTTAGGTTGTGAATTCTCAGCGTGCCTCGGAACCACATCACTCGATGGAAAAAAAGGTGTACAGACTTACAAATCCCATGCGCTCAGGCCCATGGGCACTACCAGGATTTTCTCCTAGGGAGGGCAGGGGGCAAAAACTTTTTCTAAGAAGGCAAACTTCCAGGGGGCACTCATCAGGAGCACACCGACTAACAATAATCGGTACAAGAGGCCATTTTCAAGAGAAAGGTTTCAGTTGGATTACTATCAAACATGTGAAACACGAGTGTAAAACACCTGAGCGGAGTAACACGGTCGAGTAAAATAATTACCCGCCCAGGTGAAATAATAATCCGCCCGAGGGAAATAGTACTTTGCCAGGCTGAAAAAACAGTCTGGGAGAAATGCTAACGTACCCGGGCGAAACACTAACCTACCTGGGCGAAACACTAACCTACCCGAAATAGTAATCCGCCTGGGCGAATTAATGGGGATTTTACTGTAGTCATGTCCTATGCATGCTTCCGTAAAATGGTGAGTGAAGTTCATGAACTTTAAAAATGCCCTTCGTTTGACGTTTCTCGGAGAGAACAAACAAAAAGTTCATGTTAACAGTAACTTTAACCCTAAAAGAACTGGGGTGAGGAATACTCCTTTACGTTTTTCCGATATCGTCGTAGTGCGTTTTTAAGGAGTTGAGCCTTTAGGTGTTTACAGAGTAACTCTTCGAGGTCGTTTTGACACCATGTTTGCAAAAATCGAACGTACCGCACCCACGCAGACGCATTTTTGCGAGACGGGACAGTCCGGAATGTACCGGTATACTTTTTTCCGCAGCGATGCACAGAGGTGCATGCAAGTAACCATGAACTGAAAATGACCGTAGCCCCAAAGCCATATGTCTGATTGAGTTCACACTTCACCTTTGTAATGATTAGGAGTGTCAGTACATGCATGCTAAGTTTTTTTATGAAACTGGGCGTGGCCAAGCCGAGTTCCTGGGGGCGGAATCTGCCCCCCCCCATGTAATATGGGCCAAAATAACCCCTCTCTTTTAGGGTTTAGATTGCCCTCCCTTATACATAGACTGTTGTTTGACGTTTCTCGGAGTGAACGAACTTAGTCCATCCAGAACAAAAAGTTCATGGTAACAGTAAACTTTAACCCTAAAAGAGCTGAAGGAGGAATCTGCCCTCCATGACATTTTCAGATATTGTATATATATATAGTGAATTTTTAGGAGTTGAGCCTCAGATGTTTTTCAAGTAACTCTTTGCGGTCATTTTGACACCATATTTGCAAAAATCAAACATACCGTTCTCGCGCAGCGCTCATTTTTCCAAGACAGGACAGCCAAAAATGTATACTTTTTTCCACTGTGGTGCTTAAATTAATGCACGCACGCTCTCACGTGCATGTAGCCATGAACTTCTAAGTTCACATAAACGATAAGGAGTGTCTGTATATGCATGCCAATTTACAAAAAAAATCGGGCATATCACAGCCAATTTATTAGGGGGGGGCGGATCCCCCATTGGAGATGGGCTAAACTAACCCGGCTCGTCTAGGGTTAATAATACCCCCCTTAACATTGACCGTAGTTTGACGTTTCTCGGAGTGAACGAACTTCAAATGAAGCGTTCTTCACGAAAGTATTTATCAATGTTATCACCTCCAGATAACACACTCACCAATTGACAGCAAAGGCCAATAAACTTTTCTTGCTGGAGAATCAAAGAATAAAACATGACTAACCTACTGCAATTTATAAAGAAGGATCGTCTCCACAAAGGACGCTAAAGACACGCCAGAATTGTTTCTCAGTTCTTATTCTATGCGCATAACACACACATGCTTATGCAGCATGTTATATTGTTTTCCAGGCATAATACTGGCTCCTTGAAGCTTCAACCACCTTGGTGAAATAGCTCGATATTGTTTTTCATACATGTATTACAGTATCATACATCAAGTTGATACGTCTGCAAGGGCCTAATGTTCTACAGGCAAATTTTCTTTGCCGCCTCAGACCAAGGCGGTTCGGCGGAGGTTGTCACTGATAGCCTGGAAGCGATTTCCACAAGCGTCTGAATTGCCTTGACAGCAAATCGCTCGCAAAAGGAAAGATGCATTCTACAAACTGTGCGTGTATGGACCACGCCGACAGAAAAGCCCAGACGTGTGCTACCTCTCTAAATAAATCCGTGACATTTTGAAACAAAAAGAAGTCTTCTCTGCCACTTCAGGTCCATTATAAGAATACGACTCCATGTCTGTCACTCGGGTGCACGCAGACAGTCACAATGCAGTTCCTACTTTCCTTTGTGTGATTCTAGACAAATAACTTAGGAAATTAGTCTCTTTATTTGTCGCTTCATGTCCCCCAAAGGTCACTGAACTTTTTTGTCGTTCAAAGGTCAAGAAATTCAAAAGAGCTACAGTCACGAGCATTACCCCTTCAGCTGATCACGAGGCATTCTTGGTCTTGCAACTAGCAGGTAAGTGCGCATTTTGATTTGTGCGCTATATAATTACTCAGTTAGGGACATCAAGCCTCACCTGCTGTACAGTAATGCATGGTATGTTCAAGTGTAAGACGTAAAAGCCGGTTCATACTTGAAGCAAAACGAACACACGCGAATAAATGACGTCAGATCAAATCTTCGCTTTGCGAATTCGGAAAACTTGAACACATTTTGCGAAATTTTGCTGCAAACCTTTCGTGACTTCGAATTCGCCCCGCTTTCAATGTATGAACCAGCCCAAACATGTTCGTGGTTTGCGTCGAGCAGCGGAGTAGGGGGCTTGAAAGATTTACATGCAGGCTAAATAGCCAATGGTGACATGGGTTGTTGTGTCTTCCAACTTGTTCACTCAAGCAGAGAGCTTCATGTTTGAGAGAAATATTAATGCGCGCTATGTTTGGGTCCGTGAGGAAGGATTCCTTAAAACCAACACAACAGACACTGGCTTCAAATCAATAGTAAAAAGAAATTGTTTTCAAATTTCTCGCCTTGGGCAATGCAGTATTTTTTGTTGGGGTGCAGAATGACCCCACCTTACTCACCTTAACCATTTACCCAGCCCCAACTGACACTTGAATGGCAAGGATGTAGACCAAACCTTGCTGTGTAAGGGTTTTGTTGTTGTTGTTCTTGTGAATAGTATCGTTCTGATTCTGATCCGCTGGGCCAGCAAATATGGATCTTTTCAACGTTTGGAATCACATCAACGTCCGTACAGTCTTCCTCGGGTTCATGTTGTTTGTGATCCTCTTCTGGGTTTTGCGCCGCCCAAGAAACCTTCCTCCAGGCCCCTGGGGCTGGCCTCTGCTGGGTTACTTACCACAACTTGCAAGGATCAAAGGGCCAATTCACGAAGCCTTGGGCAGATTGTCCCACAGGTAAGGACCGGCGGAAAATATAAAGAAGATGGATAATTCAGTCGTAAAATTCATAGCCTTGAGTGCGGTTGACTCCTCCTTCAGATGTTTGTATCTACTTGCAGACGAATTCAGCCTGAGAATGGTTGATAAAGTGGTCTGCAGTGGAATTTCTAATATCCAACTTCCTCATTTTTGTGCATGACACGCCCTAAGAAGGGCGTTTATTGAAATTTTGATCAACCAATGAATACCATAACATCTATGGCAACAATTTTTCAATTTTTGCTTAGGTATGGCAGCATTGTGAGCTTCTCGGTAGCCAATCAACTTATCGTTCTCCTACAAGATTATGAAGTCATGAAAGAAGCATTTGCCCAACAAGAATTGAATGGACGACCGAAATTGGAAATCTGTCAGATCACCCTACCTGGCTATGGTAAGTGTCACTCAGCTCCTTTCAAAAGCATGGCTGAGAGCACCGTATGCAGATCATATCTGGCTCCTTCATGTTGTCACATGCAAAATGGTTTTTGATATTAACCAAAACGTTCTTCGTTTTCGCGCATGTTTTGGAACAAAGTGAGATTTTAAAGACCCGAATTTAAGTAGTTGTAGTGTCTGAGTTTTTTCTTTGTTGGGCTTATGGCGCTAGAAAGGCAGGTAAAGTATCTGATCGAAACTGTAAGTTTGCACTGAACTTTTCTCGGTTACACAATACCTCTTGGGAAAGAAAATCTCTTGCTACCACAAACATTCCATGGGTTATCACAGTTCATTTCTTTCTTATCAGCCTAAGTCAATCAACTTCTTCCACAATTCGACCAAACAGGGGTTCTCTCAGCGTCTGGTGAGCCTTGGGTTGAGCTCCGTCGGTTCACAGTGACAACCTTGAGAAGTCTCGGAGTGGGCAAGTCAAGCTTTGAGGAGCACATCACCACGGAAACTAAGTATCTGATGGAGGAAATCCGAAGTCTGAAGGGTAAAGGTCTTAATCCCACACACGTCGTAGAAAACGCCGTGTCCAATGTGATCTGTTCTGTAGTTTTTGGAAGGCGATTTGAGTACACGGACACGCAGTTCAAGCGACTCTTGGAGATCCTGAAGGAGATGTTTGACCTCCTCGGAGCTGGAGGCGTGATCCAGTTCGTGCCAATATTCGCCAAGATGCGGTTCCTTCCCACTGTGAAGAAACTCATATACACCAACCTAAGCCTTGACGAAATTCTGTACCAGTTGCTGTACAACAGAAACGTTCAGCAAGGAGATGTGGACTACAACGAGAATCCGCGAGATTTCGCGGGTGCTTTCATCAAGACGATGTGCGACAGAGAGAATCAAGGTGTCCAGACATATATGACCCCATCAAGTATGCATTATACATTTGGAGACCTGTTCGGGGCTGGCACGGAGACAACTGCTACAACGCTGCGGTGGGCGTTGCTCTTCATGGTTGGCTACCCTGAAATCCAGTCGCAGGTTCAGAAAGATATTGACAGCGTGGTTGGACGTAACAGGCTACCCAGGCTCTCCGATAAGTCTCAGCTGGCCTACGTTGAGGCCGTCCTTAATGAGGTTCAACGTGTGGGTGACATTGTACCTCTGGGAGTGCCTCATAAGTGCACTGAAGACACAACCCTTCGGGGGTAGGTAGTAAAATCATTTCCAATTTCCAAATTGTGGTCATAGTGAATAAGTTTCATCGATAAACGTATGAATTGGCGCATCCCAGGTTGCACGTTCTGTGGTTAACTTTACTTATTTTGTTTATGTAGCTCAACACAGCAACTTCATTTGGTTTGTTATTAGGTATCATATCCCTAAGGGCTCTCTCATCGTTGCCAACATATCGAGCGTTCACAACGACCCAGCCGAGTGGCCCGATCCCAGCGAGTTTAGACCGGAACGATTCCTGGATGACGAGGGAAAGCTGGTTCGGCGGGACAAACTTATTCCCTTTGGAATAGGTGAGTATTACGGGATTTAACACTGCATGATGCCAACCAAAGTTTCTGATTTCTGATCAGGAGCTGGCTCCAAAAGTGGTGCAGAGACGCGGCTTTCTTTTTCTCTCACTTTTTTTCTTGAAATGATGTACGTATAGCGCTCGATGTCCATCGCGACTGCATGCGTACGTAAAGCCAAACTTTTTCTCTTTAAAAGCATTTTCAGCTTTTACATGTGCACAGTACATAAGACTTTACCTCTTTTTGTCTTGTTCCCAGATGTAAATGTAATATACAGAAAAGGGTGTCATCTGAAAAAGAGTGTCTGACTGTATGTATGGAGAATTAGAGAGACTCCTTCAGTGTAGAATTACTCAACCGTACCATCCAAAAAACGTTACAATGACGCAAGTTTGGCAGCTTTTGGACATCGTTTTATACCAAATGAAAAACATTTTTATTTTGCAGACGCGCCGGTCTTCGGCGACTCGGTGACCAGAACTGGAGACTTTATTGGCATAAATGCAGCACCGCGAAATTTTATACAAGTCCACGAAATTTAGCCTTATTTTCTCTTAACAAACTGTTATTATTTTATTATTAATCATTTCTGGTAATGCCACCAAGGAGTCCTCAAAAGCATCCTCGGCACTTTAGCTCACAAGTCTGAAGAAACCTGTAGAGAGGAGACAATGAAAAGCACTTACAGTTTTAGAGGTAGGAGGAAAACCCCAGATGGATATTCTGGGTGAAACCCGCGAAATCAGGGACTGAATACCCAATCCACATGTGGACCAGGCCGGGATTCGAACCCGGGAGGTGAAAAGCGAGGAAAGAATCACTACGCCAACCTGACTTTGGAAACTTTAGAAATGGCTCAGTCAAGACAACGCAGTTTCAGACTTGGCCAGGCCAATAATAACCCAGCATTTCTTGAAAAGGTGTCAAGAGACAACTCACTGTACCGCTATGAATCCACTCAAAACGAGGAAATGTTGTCTTCAACAGGGCTCACGTGATATGCACTCGTCAAATTCTGGTCAAATAAGCTTACAACAGTGCAGTCCTGTGCTTCGCGGTGTCCGAGCACAAGTAAATGCAGTGTTCTTATAGATTTAATTTTGTGCATGGAATTTAATATTGATCTTGATTTTGTGAGAAAACGTACATAGTTTAGATAAATACCGATTGTGTCTTAATATCACAGCAAGTCAATTACGTATACTTCTACATATTCCCCTAATAACACTGATGGTTGTCCGATAGTGTACTGTGCACATGCTGCCTCTTCACAGGTCGTCGCGTGTGTCTCGGGGAGCACCTAGCTCGGATGGAACTGTACATTACGTTCAGTTGCCTCATGCATCAGTTTCACTTCCGAACACCAGAGGGCGCCACACCCGTCTCATTCGAGGCGTGCTACAGCGGATTAACACGCTCCCCAGCACCATTCGAAATCTGCGCGATTCCGCGAGACGATTAGTGTTTTGACGCCTGAATAATGTCTCGTAATGGTGTCCCACGACTAACAAGTCTTTCTATCTGCGACTCGCTTCTGTTCCATAGGTTTTGCGTATTATTTCTGACAAAATTGTCAAATGATTAAACGACATAGCGGGATTTTTTTCAGTTGCATTTAATCTAAAAATAAAAGAAGATCAGTTGCCAAGGACCAAGGAACATTTTGTTGCTGAATATAACACGTACAAATAGTATTGACGTTAACTATGACCTCCCAGAGTGCCAGATTAATCAGATCAGCAGTAGCCATTTAAATTCTATACAATCGCACCACAAGATCTTTTAATCAGCCAGCATTCCTTTGAAATAGTTCGGATTGATTAAGGGTATTGTAAAATACATTTTTTAAGGTTTCGTTTTCTATAGGGACTAGATTTTTAAAAATTAGTGAAAATCTTCTTCGAAGCTCTTGTACGGTCTCAAGCTTCACCTAATCTTCACTCCTAATCTCGATAAATCATCGCTTGAGCCCTGACGTATTTTAATTAATTTCATTTGAAAGAACCAGGAAAAGGAAAAAATTCACTAAAACCCCTTGAAATTGCATCTTTGGGTTTCGATTAACCTGATTTTAAATTTTTGTTTGCATTTTTACCCATATTTTGATGCTTTTTTGCTTTTAAGCTAATGAATATTTGCATATTCATGAGCAGAACTACGATGTCATCAAAAGCACTGAATCTCAGTGTTTCACTGATTAGTGCACAGAAAATTTCTAGATTTTTTTAACCACTGCTATGTCGGATTTTATATTCTTTCGCAATTTATTGCTGTGTAAGTATATGGCAATAATCCAGCAAAAATCCTTTTCACAGAAATGTTCCCAGATAGCAAATTTGGGGTTCACAATTTGAACATGAAAACATGCAAATTGAACCATGTCTTCCTAGGTTTACATCAAAAGCGCCCTCACTTGTCCAGAAATGCTTGGTCAAGTTTTAATGTTTGAAAAAGCGCACCGTTCAGTTCATGTAACTCAAAAAAAATTTCAAACAGTTTTCATACGTGGAAGAAGAGTACAGAGATACACAAAATGTGATTTTAAGAAAAAACATTTCCTGGATACACAAATTGCTATCCATTTGTTCTACATCAAGGGGTCAACAGTGCTACAGGATTCTGACCTTTGTAGATTTAAATTGTTTTAAATTAAAACTAGATATGTTAATAATTTACTGTAAACTATACTGATACTATGCACATTTGTTTAAGTATAGCTCTAATTAGCTTCAGTCATATAATGTTGGCTTGCAGCATTATACTATCGCTTTAAAGAATATGTGGTAGGTTTTTGTCACTGAGTGATCCATGGTTGTTACTCGGCTTTAATTGTTACAGCAGATGATGGCTAGATTGTAGATTATTACAGTTGATGATGACTAGATTGTAGATTGCCGTAAGACGATTAGAAGTTTTACAATGTGAATTGTCAAATTCCCTTTAAAATGCAAATGTATTAAGTTTTCACATGGGTAGCAAGCTTAGAGCAAATCTACGTAACTAGAGCTGCCCTAATAAATTAGCCACCAAAACTGAAGCGCCCTTTGGTATGGGGGCGGTACGTCAGATAGTCCATCAAGATTGCAAATCAGCTTGTCACAGGAAAGGTCAGATAAACTGACATTTTGTGTGGCAAACGTTTAAACAAAAAAAAAACAGACGCGGAACAACATCATGCAGAAAAAAGTTAACATGTTCAGTTCATGTCACAGCGGAGTCTGTTTAACCCTCTTTGGTACAAAGGTTGTAGAATCCACAAAGCGACAGATCACATCCACGACGGCCTTAAAGTGACTGGTGTGTACCCGAGAAACAGGTTAGTGGAAAATTCCACCTAGGGCCTACACGTAAAGTATCAAAGAGTGTGTTAACTGTTAGCAATGGTGGCAGCAATAGACCCTTTTCACCCACGTGACTGGATTGCGCTGACAATACCGCCGCGTGTGGACCGCCTCAGCCACGGTGATCGAATACATTCATACGGGCAGCTAACTATATGCAAGCGTAAGTGCGAACACTGCATGCGTGACTAGTTTATCTTGAATAGGTAGATTACCATCACAACACTGTGCGCTGATTACCATCACATTGGTCCAGCATGATTGGAAAAAGGTCTATTGAGGTTGTAACGTTGTTGAGCTTTAAAGGACAGACTGCGTGAAGGCCCATAATATACTGTAATACTTAACTTTAATTATCGTGCCTTTGCTACCGTTATAAGTAGTTTAAATGCTTAGCAGCAATTCGTATAGCACAATAAAGGCTTATTAGATTCGTTGAACGTAAAATGCCGTTTCTCTCGCGTTGATACACATTACTGTACTATATTTCGTTGGCAAATAACACTCGTGATACCGGTATCCTAGGACATCACTTTGAGACCTCACACCCATTGTGGCACATAGGGCCTATGCATAATGGAACATTAATAATTTAGTATTGTTTTACTAAAGGCGACGGATACCTGAAGTGACAGCACTATGGATCTTTTAGATGTCTGGAACCACATCGATGTCCGCGCAGCCCTCATTGGTTTCGTGTTGTTCGTATTCCTCTTCTGGGTTTTGCGCCGCCCAAGAAACCTTCCTCCAGGCCCCTGGGGCTGGCCTCTGCTGGGTTACTTACCACAACTTGCAAGGACAAAAGGACCAATCCACGAGGCCTTAGTAGAACTGTCCCACAAGTAAGAACGTATTATCTCAAATCAAAACGAAATATGAATTTAGTTTGATCCACTCACATTACATGATATTATAAAAGTTACCACACCATTAAAAAAACAGAGAGATTGACACCGGTTTGTGCAGAGGTTGCACAGCGACTGTGTATTCTTGGTACATTCTTGTGAAAAATATAAATACAATGGAAGGAAATAGATGCGTATTTTAATCCAAAGACTATACCGTCTCAAAACAATACGGAATTTTCAAGGTGATAGATACAAGATACTTAGGAGGATCAATACGCATCTAAACAGTTGAAATGGGCCAGTTCGGTATTCCAACAGCGCATGCCCAAAGTGAGGTCGTTCGGGAACAGTAAATAAGCACGCGCGAGATCTTCCCTCTCAGCGCAGCCATGCGCCGACACGCGCATGTTTGGTTTCCGATTGACCTCTTTGAAATGGCTCATTGCCACACACCGAAGAGCCTTGACATACACCTGAAACAGCATGAAAACTTTTGCTCAGATATGGAAGCGTCGTGAGCTTCTCGGTGGCCAATCAGCTTGTCGTTCTACTGCAAGATTATGACGTCATGAAAGAAGCATTTGCCCAGTATGAGTTAAGTGGACGGCCACGATTCGAGATCAGTCAGATAACTCTACCAGGTTACGGTAAGCGTCACTTAAGTCTCAAACATGGCAGATTTGGATTGTGCATCTAGTCCAACATAATATTATGTGTACCTTGACCTACAATGTTTACAATAATTGTGGGCCTTGCACTTTAAAGATGGGTTAATTGGCTTTCGAGCTACAGTGGTTTATTTTCACTTTTAAATTCTGGCCACCTTAAAGAGGGTTCTTTTGGTTTGTTGTTTGATGCTTGTCTTTTTCTTTTTAATATACATGTTCTAGTTTGTTTTGTTCACCCTTGTTTGGCCGAAGAAACAATAAATAATAATAATACGTATTATAAATAATAATTATACGTATTCATGCCCTATAGAGCCATTTTATTTATACATTCTGCACAAAGCAAGGTGTTTTACTGTCCACTGAAGGCGAGGGCTAGTGGCTACAGAAAAAAAATATTTTGTTGGCATATGGAATGAAAATCAGAAGGAAGAAACTTCCAGAACATAGCATTACATGAAAAAAGCTGCAAGTTGTCCCAGATATTTATAAAGTTGACTTTCTTGCGGTAAATTTGAAAAGACAAAATTACTTCAAAAGTAACAGTTGAAACTTTTCTGCAAACAGATGGAAATGTTTAGCGTTGGCCGCATGATCTCTTTAGACCCATCTTATTATGCATCACAAAGAAAGATTTTCAGAACAGTATACGCGCTCTCTGAATAGGGTCATCCATCCATGTTTTTTCATCTTCAAAAGGTGTCCTGTCTGCCTCTGGTCAGCCTTGGGTTGAGCTCCGTCGGTTCGCAGTGAAAACCCTCAGGAGTCTTGGAGTGGGCAAGTCAAGCTTTGAGGAGCACATCACCACGGAAATCAAGTATCTAATGGAGGAAATCCGCAAAACAAATGGAAAGACTCTAAACCCCAGACACGTGGTGGAAAACGCCGTGTCCAATGTCATCTGTTCTGTAGTCTTCGGGAGACGGTTCGAGTACACAGACTCAAGATTTAAGCGGCTCTTGGAGATCCTGAACGAACTGTTTGAGCTGATTGGAGCTGGCGGTGTTATCCAGTTTGTACCCATATTTGCCAAGATGCGGTTCCTTCCTTTGGTAAAACAACTCATACACACCAACTTGAGTTTCGACGAGGTTCTGTATCAACTGCTCTACAATAGGAATGGCCAACAAGGAGATGTGGACTTCAACGAGAATCCGCGAGATTTCGCGGGTGCTTTTATCAAGGAGATGTGTGACAAAGAGAATCAAGGTGTCCAGACATACATGACCCCGTCAAGCATGCAGTACACCTTTGGAGACCTGTTCGGGGCTGGCACAGAGACAACCTCTACAACGCTGCGGTGGGCGTTGCTCTTCATGGTCGGCTACCCTGAAATCCAGTCGCAGGTTCAGAAAGAGATTGACAGCGTGGTTGGACGTAACAGGCTACCCAGGCTTTCAGATAAGTCTGAACTTGCCTACGTAGAAGCCGTCCTCAGTGAAGTTCAACGTATGGGTGACATTGTGTCTCTGGGGGTGCCTCACAAGTGCATTGAAGACACAACACTGCGAGGGTATGATATCATGCAATGGGGTGCCTTGCTGGTATAACTATACACGATTACCAACGTTTACTGTGCTATTTACTTCAGGTTCGAACATAAGTATATGAAGTAGAAAAGGTATAAAAAAAAAAATTGAAAAACACCTGCATCACTTCAAATACTTCTATCTCATCTCTCTCCGTGGTATTAGATATCACATCCCCAAGGGCTCTCTCATCGTTGCCAATATGTGGAGCGTTCACCACGACCCAGTCGAGTGGCCCAATCCCAGCGAGTTTAGACCAGAGCGATTCCTGGATGACGAGGGCAAGCTGGTTAGGCGTGATAAACTCATCCCTTTTGGAATAGGTAAGAATGTGGAACATTTTTCAACGGCATATAATTTCAGATTGGGGATACAAAATACCGTCTCGAACGAAATCTGATATTAACTTGGACCACAAAATGAGTGTAACACTTGCATGCATGTTTACTTTTAAACCCACCAGGAATCATTGAGCAGCGCCCTCAAACGACTTTCAATATGAACTTTTGACAGTGTATGTGTGCACTTTTTGTCGACAGGTCGCCGTGTGTGTCTGGGGGAGCACCTTGCTCGGATGGAACTCTACATTATGTTCACCTGCCTTGCGCACCAGTTTCACTTCCAAACACCAGAGGGCGCTGGGCTCGTCTCGTTCGAGGCGCTTCAAGGCATAACGCACGCCCCGGCACCATTCGAAATCTGCGCAATCCCGCGAGATAATTAGCAATGCATAGCTGCCTATCAACTTAATCGTTTTTTCAAGAATTCATACCATATTTGGAGTGCATAATATTTACTGGTAGTCTCTTAACTCACAAAAAGGAGAAAAGGGATGAAGGCATGAAATCAAGGGAAGAAATCTGAGAATTGTGTACCTTCACAGTGCTCCCCGTACATGAACAGATTTAATGAGAAACTTAACACGAATTCAATGAGACTTTAATTCATGATAGGAAATCTTTCCTGTCAAATTACTGTGACTTTCCACTTCCACCGATAAAGTAAAATGAACAGACTTCAGCATTTGGTCTTAATGCAAATGAAAATTTCCATTTTCATGAGTCAAAGGATGATGTGATCCAAGGTAGACTGGTAGCGTCGCCATATGGCGGACACAATGTGTTTGCTAAATAATTATGTACCCATTTCAAATACAGCACTGATGCCTGTCTCCCCTTACTTCGAAAAGACTTATAGCTCTGTTTGTAGTTTACACATAACACTCTTTTCCACTTTTTGATAGAAAGGTCCTGAATTTATTTGTTTATCGTGTTACGCAGCTTGTTTGAACTATACACGGGCAATTCTTCAATGCTTCATTGGTAGGTAATTTTAAAAGAGTTTTCCGGTAGTTTTCGTATGCGATTTGAAAAAGTTTGCCTGTATGGCAAAAGCAATTTAGCGCCTTTAATAATGATTAATGAAAGGCTTTTGTAAGAAATAGAAAACTACCACCTTCTTGTAACTTCCATTGAAAAGAAGTATGTAGACCTCGTAGTAATGCAAATAGTACTTTGTATGAAGAGAAGTTGAGCTGAATGTCCACTGTAATGTTGCCATGAATATCCCTTTAAACTGCCATTAGCATGTAGTGCATTTAGTACAAATTGTGTCCTGGAACGGAGGATAAAATTTAGTTTTTTGATATAGAAAGGGAAATGTTTCAGGCTAAAATCGCCAAACCTTAGTCCCTAAAATTCCCTTTCACTTTCAGTTTGGCAGGATTTCAAATTCAAAGATTAGAATTAATTATTTAATAATTAATTATTATTAATTAAAAATTTCGCGGTACATCCTGCTTCCGATCCGCCCTTTCAACTCTCGACAAACAATTATTATCGATATAATCGACAGAGAGATAATGCTTGAAATCTAAGTGAATTTAGAGCAAAGATACATTGCGTAGTGAGAAATTACTACTACTGGCCAGATTTGCAGTGAACAATAATTCAATTTACGATTATCAAATATCCAGATGTTTTGCTCTGATTTAGAAGCAAATAATAGCGGACTTGAGCTAATCAACCGTGTCGAGTAAGCATACACCTTCCTCTATTGTACCAGAATATTAATTTGGTCGAATCCACATCTTGAAATCCGAAGACTCCTGGTGTGTGTACGTGTGTACATACACAGTAAAGTGACGAAGACAGACTGCGCCGCGTGCGCCGGGTCACGGGCAGCGAGTTTGGCATTCCGCAAAGGTCGAGCCATTACGGCTGGATCTCGGTCGGCCCTTTGTGCGGAATGGCGACCGCTCTGCTGATGATGACGAGATCGGATCGGCAAGACGCGAGTCCCAAACCTTAGCGCCCCGATGTTTCGGCGTGGAAGGCCCGGGACTGAGACCAAATATCGAGGACTCGGACTTGTAGGGTTTTTCTCCAGGAACAAAAAGAGGTGCAACATCTGACAAGAGGCTGTCCAGGAGCAGTAATAACTCCGAAGGAAAGTGCCTCACGATCAGACTCAGTTTTCACAAAACCGACCATCTGTCACGAGCAGTCCTGTCTAGGACATGTCAAACACACCTTGAAGTGAACCGGAATCAGAAACTTCGACCCGTTTCAGCTACCAGAAAACGCAGATAAGACGTCACCATGACGACACAAGGGGTGCTACTGAAAGTGCGGATGACTGGAGGCCCGCCATGGGGCCTGCGATTTATGGGCGGGCAAGGCACACCCATCTGCATCTCAAAGGTAAACTTAACTTCATTGTATCTCTGAAATATTGTCAAGAATGTTTATCCTGCCACATTTGAACATCCCCAGGCGCTTGCATTCAATCAGTACTACGATGTTAGCAAAAGATTTAACATCCTTGAAGTTGTACAATATTGTACAACTGTTTAAATGTTGTAAAAAGTTTGAACTTTCAACTTGTCTGGCAATAATGACTGGACAAAAGAGAGTGGAACATGTGCATTGTCAATCCCACCCAGTCTTCATGCCATAACGCATGCAGGATCAGGACTTCTATTCCATAAATGCAACGAAAACATTACCATGATACCCAGTACTCCCGCGCCTCACTAAACGATTACATAAATCAAAGTTTGACAACGGGAAGAAGCAATAACTCACTCTAGGTCATTATGCCTTCTCAAATATTTGATAGAGGGCCTAAAATAATAAAATCTTTCATAATTCCACTGCGACTTATGTCGACAAACATACCACGGCACAAGAGGACACGAACCTCTTAATGACAAAGACTAAAAATCACTTAAACAAACGACATTGAGGTTCGCGCTGACCAAATTAAGACTCCAATTTATTGTAGGTGCGTCACGTACAGAGTTTACTGGGAGCAGTAACTTTTACGATAAAATTGCTAGCAGAAGGTTGAAAGGGCGAGACGATATCGAGGGACTCCTCGAGGTGCTCGGAATAAATTGAGACTTGGGGTCAAAGGAATATTGTTGTTAAATTCTTGGGACCCATTTAGAATTCGATTTAAAGTGAAACTCATGCAAACTTGATACAGTGGTCGATGAGGAAGTGGCGTTGTTTGTGCCTCGTTTGTATGGAACAATCACAGGCTTCTTTGTGAGATACATTGTTCAAAATAAGCCCGCCTTCAGAGGGTTTATGTTCACAAGGGCATTTTAAGGACTCCATTCATACTTTTGCTCGTTTTATTGCAATTTTTTCATATGAGTGCGGTGTAAAGAAGTTTGATGAAAACTACTTCGCAAGAAGGAGCTTGTGATCTTGTATTTGTTCGCAACTTCAAGTCATTAGTGTCAGGTATTTTGCACGTCATTTAGAGATTATTCGATTTTACAAATTAATAAGGTTATATTTGACTGAGCACTTTAACTGCAGTGGGAAACAACAGATGTATAATTTACGCAATTTTCAAGATGTATAGCAGTTGTAAAAATCGGGAATAGGCATCCGGACAGGTAACTGTTAACACCCCCTTTTGGGACATGTAGTTCGTAGCTAAGGCATTAATCCAAATATTGACTAAAAACGTCACAAACACTAGCCTGGGCTGTGCGCATCTGCCCTTGTCATTCCGGATGCACGTTGTGTGTAAGAAGTGTAAATGTGTATTGTTGATATGATGGAGGCAAGAGCCAGGCTATGGGATGACGATGCCGTGTGGAGAGTATTATCAAGTTCTCTGTGTACGCCATCTGCAGACACGAGGATACACATACGTGGGATGCCTTCCTGGATGCTTTTAGCATGACAAGTACTGGGGAATGATGCCAAACATAAGGACCTTTTTCTTGATCGTGACATGAAGCTGGCTGGCCTTGTGGTTCTGGTGCGATGTCTGGATATGTGCCATGCAACTGTCCCGCAAAGCAGGAAAAATGCGGCAACATTTGTCGTCATTTTGTGCTACGACACATTTCTATGCATGCAGTTTGTTACAATAAAACCGTTACTTATCTAAAAATTGTACTGATATTAGGACACACTCTACATTTGTGTTTCAAGAACTATTTAATTTAAACTGAACAAAATTCAATCACCTTTACGTAATTCATTTTTCAAAACATCCTATTAAACAATCTAAAGTCCGCGTCAAGCTTTGAAAGATGTTTCCAAAGTCATGACAAGTTTAGGACTGTACAAACATAAATCCAAACGGTGGGAAGACTATCTCAGTTTTGACCAGAGGAAATGAGCTGTGAAATTATCTTCTTGGTAACTTTTGTGTAGCATATTATAGACAATGGATATGCCGCTCATTGCCTCCAGTGCTGAAAACATCAGTCGAAGCAAGTGATGAAGAATCAGTCGGAGCAAAAGATGCAGAATCACTTTACCGACTTACAAAGAATAACTGGCTTGAAAAGAAGTAGATATAAAACATCTCTCAGCATTTTCACGTCGGACTTAACCTTAAAACCCCTCCGAAAATTAGTTCTGGAGTGTGTTATGCAGACTGGCATTCTTCTCTTTGGCGCCATCTCCTTATCTTTGGACGTGCGCACTTGTTGAAGTGTATGATTCAGTGGCATGTCACATCGACCTTTTAAAATAGAGAGGGTCTGTCTTTTGTTGAGGTTAAGTTGACATAAATACTGCTGCCACAGATTGTTTAGGCCTAGGTCTGTGCAATTAGATTTAGGTGCTGTTGAAGAAATACGAACATGGAATATTGACATGCATGTGTTTATTATAATGCCGTCATGTAGCTGCCACTTGGCTTAACATTTTTGTCCAAAGAAATTTGACTTACTTTGTGCAGCAGTTCCCAAACGGCAGACGAGTCCGGACTGTTAAGCGCCGTAGTTCAGGAATCCTCTTGAAAGTATAAAATGCCATGTTCCAACCACTGCACAAAATAACCATGTTTAGAAGCAAAGCTGGAACAATGCTTCCCGGCAGGTAGCTTTCCTACTATGTACAGCGACTCTAATTCCCATACAGAAACGAATGTCGATTGAAGCTGACCGCTTTACACAGTTTGTGCAAATGGTGATCATGTTGTCTAAAAGTTCTGAACAACACATACGGTGATATTAAGCTCCATTTTTACATATGATTTAAACCGGTTCTTCTACATCTCCCATTTTATTTTTATTCACTGGCACATAAATCATTATCCATAAGATCGCAAGTGGCGTTAAAAAGTAACGGTGATTTGGATTTGCAATACCTAGCCTTTCTTTTTGAAGGGGTCCAAGTCAGTCTTTTTGGCTGTAAAGATAACGATATCCTGACGTGATTTTTATGAGATGATGCATTTGGCCTTTACATGTCGAAAAAACGCAGGTTGTATTCCCAGCAACTGTGTACTTAACATCCAGAGATTACCGCATGTTAGGCTCAGATGCTGACGTTAATGGTTAAGCGTTTTGAATAAATACTATTAGTGTGTCTTGCTCTCCCATTTGAAAAACTTGAAGGCAATTGACACTCAACACGGCTCATACTTTTTACAAACTACTTCAACTTCGGTGAAAATGTTCCCGAGCAATTGGTCGCATTTTAATCCTAATCAACATCAACTGGTACCAAAACAATGTTTCGTTGCAATTACGTGTGAATCGTCCGAAATTTTCCATAGCCACTAAAACCACAATTTTCTGAGGTTGCCCATCCCTCAACCTTGACCAAAATCGTCGACTCAAGGGTTGTCGACAGATCTAAATTTTAGAAGCACCTTAGGTACTGCAGTGAACATGACGATGTTCGAGCTAGCTCCGTCGGTCCCCAGAGGTCAAAGCATATGATCGAGATTCCATAAATAAGACGTCTGACACGTACCTCTGCGGTCAAAATTAATACTCTTCCATGAGCCCAGATGTGCGTCCCGTTAACGAGGAAAATTCTTTTCCTTGGGCTTCCTCAAGTTTACATGTATAGGTCCCTCCTTATCTGAAAGGCTTGGAATTTTCTGGATTTTTGCGTGTGGGGTATTTCATAGCTGATAATGAAGCCAAAAATGTGGCCCTTGGGTATAATGGAGCGAGCTAAGACAACTTTATCAAGTGTAATTGCCACGAGGAAATAAAAATTCTTAAAGTTGAAATCGGAATAGAATTTACGAGGTATTAGCTACTTCATTTTTGTCATGAGATTTATCTTTAAATGGTAACTTGAAGGATTTTTAAACTATAATCAAAATATCGTATCGATCTTCATTTTTTACAAATTTTATCTCTCATTCTATTCTCTCATTCAAACCATTGCACGAGCATAGCCAAGTACGGATAGCGCTGATTAGGCGTGACCTTTTTTCGTCTCAAATGATAGGCTTACGCGCGAACTTTCCAACGGCCAATTTAAATCGAACATCAAACAGTGCACCTTTAAATAGGCTCAGATTGAATAGCATGAGTCTCATATGAGAAGAACATATCATTCCAGTGCATTCTCCATTCCCATGACTGACGAAGTGAAACCTTTTTTATTTTTAAATTATCGTCTCAAACATAAGAGGAGATCCCTGTGACACCAGATACGCTGCGCGCTTGCCAGAAATAGCTAAGGATATATGACAGGCTACCCTGGGCAGGATACGAAGGATTGTTCTCTGACATTTATTAGTGTTCTACCTTATGAGTTTGTGTTATATTTTACAATCCAACCGCTTTCACTACTTGTTTCAATTTTATAAACAAACCAAATTTTTGGCTGAAATTATTAAGTACCGGTAAGAGATTTGATGCACGCGCCGTTGTCCATTATGCGCGTACACATTCTTATAATTTGATACGCTGGTGAAGTGAGCGGTACAATGCACATTATGTACCATCCTCTTTTATGCATGCCTCATAAGTGCATGATATATTTTTAATTGTTTGGTCAATGCTTATCAGTGGAAGTATTTTGCCATTACCATTATATGACAAAAAAATTGTTGTAAGAAACATTTAAAACAAAAGAGCCAATTTTTTTCTTACAAAATGGGGCTTGTCCGGGAATTGAACCCGGGACCTCTCGCACCCGAAGCGAGAATCATACCTCTAGACCAACAAGCCATTGATGCGTTAAAATTTCTTGCTCTGCGCTTATTCGTTTCATAGTTTAACTTCACAAAAATAGGGGCCTGTTCTGGAACTGAAGCTGGGACCCATCGAACCTTAAGGGATACTCATACCAAAGCCGTCAAAGGGAGCTGGCTGTCGCCTCATTTGTACATGAAATTTCAACATGTTCTTTTACAGCACACGATAAAGTCACGGTTCAGTGAAAAACTCAACTTATCTTATCCAGCATTCACCTTATCCAAATTTGAATCTATTGTAACAAAATAAACACCACCTTTCAAATTCTTAATTTATTTTTTATTTTTGCAAGAAAGGAAATAAATTGAGATAATCTGGTTAAACATGAACGTAGCTTATTTACCTAATTACCCAATAAATAAATAAAAGAAATGTGGGCTTGTCCGGGAATCGAACACAAGACCTCTCGCACCCAAAGCGAGAATCATGCCACTAAACCAACAAGCCGACATTTTTCAATTCATTAAATGCAGTGACTTGAACCTATTCCTTCAGGATGTTAATACTATGAAATATAGAAAGAACTGTGACGCTAGATTGACAATTACGCTCCCAAGATGGACTGCCCTCTTAACAGAAATGAAAGACTTAATAAGAAAAAAAAGAAGGGCTTGTCCGGGAATTGAACCCGGGACCTCTCGCACCCTAAGCGAGAATCATACCACTAGACCAACAAGCCGAGGTGCATAAATAAACCCCTGAACCCAACATTTATTTTGAAAATAACTCAATACGTCCGAAAAATGACAAAATTTGGGGGCTCGTCCGGGAATCGAACCCGGGACCTCTCGCACCCAAAGCGAGAATCATGCCACTAGACCAACAAGCCGACA